AAATAAAAACTGCATCAAAAATATTGCATGTATACGTGTATCCATGCATGTGTCTACATATATGTATGAGCTTTCATTTCAGAGACGTGCTGGGGATGAGAAGGTTCACAGGCCCTGCAATGAAGCAGTGCCGTCCAGCAAGGGGATAATAGGAAAGTACAGCAGCTGCAAATACTCATACAACATCTCACTTAAAATGTCATGTGTGCTACTTGGTTTAAATTGTCACCCCTCCAGCAACCACAAACAATGCAGAAACAGCAGATGTGTTTTCTATTTAGAATTAAACAGTTTATCTCAACCACTGTCATTGTTACAGAGGGAAAATAAATAAATATCCATGTTAATGTAAACTTCAAAAGGTACTTTCTGGCATGAATGGCTGTTCTGAATCCAGATTTCACTGAGAAAACTAGGATTTGACAACAGATTTTTTTTTTATATATATATATATATATATATTTTTTTTTTTTTTTCCAACAGGGATGCTGGCAGCTCAGCATGTAGTAAAACTTAGACTGGTCAAAAAGATTTTTTGGCCAGATATAGCATCCAATAACTCATGTCATTTAGACTTAATGGTCCAGAAAATTTAAGTAAACATCATAAATGTCTTTTGTTATTAAACTTTCCATTCAAACATTTTGTTTAACTCTTACTTAATGGAGAGTAAAGATGACATTTTGAGGCATGTATTTACCTACGTGATAATCCTAGAGTCACCTCATTGAGAATTAAAGTTGTGTCGCAAACTTAGTCAAGGCAAGCACTCAGCAAGAAAAAAAAAAAAAAAAGCAACAATAGCTGGTGTGAGCATGTGATCAGGAGAATTTAAGGTAATGATGAATTAACCCTTCACAGGTTAATGTCAATTTATTATACAACTCTTAGTTTTGTAAGTCTAACATTCTGTTCTGTTCTTTTCAGGAGCAAGCAGCATCGCAAGCAAGAGTGACCATGTGAATATAATTGGATACTTTTGTTTTTTTTAAGACGGGATGCTAATTGTAAAGGGTGTTATCGAGCAATGTAGTTGGGGCAGGCTTTAGGAAAATATAGTTTTTTTGTATAAAAAGCAAAAATAGAGCTTCATTTGTCCTCTGCTTACATTTAAATTGCAAAAACAAAGCAGAACTCTGTCTAGTTGTGAAGATATTTTGACTAAATGAAGCTTGATTTGTTTTCACAGTCTAAAGAAGTTTCCAAAACTGCGTTCTTCTTTGTGTGTGACATGGCCTTCACCAATACCTTTCTTGTGTTTGATTTGCAGCCAGTATTTTAAAACTTCACCAGCCAGCTTGGTTCCAGATTTTATGTTTTTACAAAGAGTTTTTTTGTCTTTGAGCTTAGTTCTTGGTCTAGTAACACATTCAATTCAATGTTTGTTTCTCCACAATTGTCACAATCCTGCAACTCTGCAGGACTTCTCAGTGGTTAGCACTTTGGAATGGCTGAGTGGAAAAAGGCATCGTGCAACACATTGTCCTCTGGAATCCATGTAAGAAAGGAGCATTTTGAGAGCCACATATTTTCACATTGGTTAAGGCTAGAAGGGAGCATTTATTTATCTCAAGGGCTGACTATGAGCATATGATTGAGATTCACCAATATAAAATCTCAACAATCCTTTTCACACAACAGAAAGCCAACCTAAATCAGTTCTGTCTTTGGACAAGGTCAGTTCCCAGTTTTTCAGATGAAGGAAGAAGAAGCCCTCTGGACAAGATGATATTCAACTGACACTAGTTGAGTTGAGTTTTGTGAGCAAATTCCTTCTTCATCTCTCTAAGTAATTGCCTCTAAATGTGATATTAAAATATATCCTTGATTACTTTAATATAATGGCCAATATCATTCGTACGTGTAAGCTACAAGCATTTTACCTTGTCTGCCTCAAAAAGAGGTAGCAAGTGAGGTGGTAATGGCACAGATGATTTCAGGGAATCATAGTTCCGATCTCATCACTGCTCACTGCAGTAAATCTGCAAAAATAAATGAAACCCCTTGGAATCAGAGCACCAAGACTTGCCTGACTTTCGGTATCTGTGTTAATGATTTTCTGCCAGCCTAGCTGATGTGCATCACAAGTTCTTCTGACTGTCTTGGTTCCTTTTCTGGTTCATATGACTAGAATATGGATCAGAAGGACTTTCCCAAATGTGGTATTACACCTAAACAGTTTTTCTGGAGCAGCAGTTTTGGATCAACATTCCTGGACAATCCCACAGGTGAACAATTTTGCTGTGCAATATTAATATCTACATGTGGAATTACACAGAAATAGTTTTTGTGTTTAGTTTTCTACCTGCGTTTGTGCCAAACTAATTTCAAGTGTAAATGATCCCTAAGAGCTTACATATGTACCCAGAGGAGGAAGTACATTCCTTTATTACGAGACTGAACTTGTACAATTTAAGGAGCATGTAATACAAATGGAATGGACAGAAATCTGTTACTAAATAAATGGAAACGGAAGAACGTAATTAAGTGCATTGTTGAATGACTAAGGCACTTAGTCCTTATTAATAATTGGTTTGAGCATTCATATCCAGGAGCAACCATGAAATCTCCCAGCAATTGGATTGTATATTTGCATATATAGCCTGTTCCTCTGAGCTTTATGTTGAAAATATATATATATATATGTATATATATATATATTTGTTTTGTTTTGTTTTCTTCTGATAAGTATTAATGTTATCCTGCTTCTCAGCCTTTAGTTATTGAATAAGGTGAGTGAAAGCAGACTTTGGAAATTACAACTAAAGAGGCAATTTATTTATTTTTTAAATTCTTCTTCACAATTTAAATTTGATTTGTGGTAACCTGGACACTTGAGCAGACAAATTTGAAGCAGGCATAATTTTCTCAGGCTTGCTTGTATTTTCAGACAGACTTATTTGAAATAGTTTTAGTCTATCACTCTTCAGGGATCTTGAGGTCAGACTAAAAAAAATCTTCCAAAGCAATAAGAAGTTCATACTAAAACAATGTTATCTGATAGGACCGTAAATGATAATGTTATCTACATGTCAGAGAATGGTTAAGTTCTTACAGCATTTCTCTGGCAAAATAGATTTTCTTCCTTACTATGGAAATCATGCTATTAATATTAGTCTTAGCAGAAACAAAACTAGATTCTGTTTCAACTATTTCTGTATAATATAAACAAACAAACAAACAAAAACTTTTAGAAAATAAGTAACTACATATCGACTATTTGGGTTCTTTTGCTTTTTTTGAGTTGCCTAGAAAAAACAAACTATTTGCTGAGACTTTTACTTTCTTAGTTTGTTCACTACATCACATTTTGCAGTTATTTACACCTTACTTTAAAGTATTTAAGCTGTGCTAATAGCATTTATTCTCATGGAATAAAAACATTTATTCTTACACACAAAAGTTTCACTGTCCTGATTCAGTGAATAATTGTCAGACTCCTGTTTCCAATAATCAAACATGCTATGCCATTATTTATTCACTATCAAATAATATATCTAATATTGTTCTTATGTCCCTTTCTCAGTGAATACAGATGGTAGCAAATGTATTCACCAGAAAAAATCATCACCACAAAGGTGGCCAAATTTAATCTGTAATGAATTCAGTTTTATCTGAGTGTCTACATAGGCAAAATTGATAGAAATTCCCCAAGGCAGTACTCTTTCTGTCTCAACACAGGGCATACACCTCTGTGCAGGTCGATCATGTTTAGCTGAGATGGTACCAAATACTTCAGGTTATCTGTAAGGCAGATTTTAGCAGTAAGACTATATTATTCAATTTTATCTATTATTATTTTTTTTTTCTTCAAATTTTTGCCTATCTTTTAAAACAGATAAAAGTATTAGGATTCCCCAAATGCCTCCTCTAAATCCTTTCTTTCCGATGAACAACAGTACCTTAAAGCAAGGTCAAGAATTGCTTCACTGCTGCAATGTTATTTCTCAGGAATTAGAGGGTGAAAACTTTGCTCTCTGCCTGAGAAAACAGACCCTGCACCCTCAAGCCAAAGATAAAATTAACATTCTAGTTTCTTTTCAGTCCTGCACCCTGAGTAGCCTCTCAGCCTTGTCCCATTTCAGCTGTTATTGTCTACCTTTTAGGGACTCTTAGCATCCCTTTCCTGGCAGGGCTGACGGCGGCCATCTCACTCCATACCAAACCCTTGTGCCCACAGAATAAAAAGTTTCCATTGCACTGAAATGGCTGCCCAGCCACTCCAGAGGCAGTGGTGCCCTATGCACCTCCAGGCAGCAGGAATGGCACAGGATAGCAGGTGTTTAGAAGCAGCACTCCCAGGCTAAGAGCATATGGTGTATCTAATCCCTCCTTCTAAGAAAACAGAAAGCATAATTTGGTTCTGATTTTCTTTACAGGCAATTTTAAACAAATTAAGCTTCAGAGCTCTTTTTATTCAGTTGAAACACTGATGATGGGAAACAAAAGGATGATGACCACCTCCGTCTAGCCATTTGCCCCTATCACAGTAAAACTTTTGGCTTTGTAATGGAGGAAAATTTTCTTTCTGAGAAAAGGGAAGATGAAATAAGTTGGGGGAGATAAAAGTAAGTAGGGGAGGAAAGAATGAAAGAGAGACTTTGAAGCCTAAAATTTAAAAACGTGTTGGTTGTGATTCATATGATGTCGTTACTTGCCACCTGAGAATGATGAATGGTTAGGAAATTATCAAATTGTGTGGTTACCAAATGATCAAATTAATTAAGATCCTTTGGGGAAAGGGATACTGTTGAGTTGTTTGTCTTATGTGACTTTGTCTGTCCATGGTCTTTAAGAAATGCAAAACAACAGTTGTGTTTTCCTCATTTCTTTTACCAATGAACAAACTGTATTTTGACTTCCTATCACAGCTCACAGAATGAAGGTAAGCTTTGCTCAGATTTCTTTTAAAACATGGAAGAAATATGAAGAAAATGTCAGTTGTGAACAGTGAAAAAGGAGAGCTTAGGGATATGGTTTAGTGGGGACTGTTAGTGTTAGGTCAGAGGTTGGACTCGATGATCTTGAGGTCTCTTCCAACCTAGAAATTCTGTGATTCTGTGTGATCTTGGTCAAGAAAGGAAAGAGTTGCTTTCTCTGCCTTGGATTTCTAGTGGCTGCTGTGGGTGAATGGGAGGCTGTTTGATGCTGACTGCTAGTAGTTTGCTACGTTTTCTTGGCATTGATTTGTCATTCCCTAACTTATTAAGACACGTTCTGGCTGATGCGTGTGACACATACTACCAGATGAGCCACATGTAAGAGACAACAACAACAGCATATATAACTAGTGCCATCATAGATCTTTGCTTTACTCAGGTTTCTGTAAGGTCTAATTGTGCTTTCATTCCTCAGCAGCTGGTAAGCCATCATAAATACAGGAAATATTAACAACAGCCACATCAGTTGTGAGAGATTAGGTACAGTGTTCAGGTGGTGTTTGCTGTCTCTGGTCTAAGCAGGGAAGTTGGTCTAAAGCTGAATTTAGATATGTCCATCTAATGAGCATGCCTATGGAATTACAAGTTTAGACTGGATTTTTTTCCATAATGAAATGAATATCTGTAACTCTTATTATTATCTGTGTGGCTCACATACTCATTGCTGCCATTATCAACCATTCCATGCAGGATGTGGTCATGATCCTTGGTATATTTTTGATTGATGGGGTATTTTGCAACAGACCTGGGGATACCAGGTATCTCTGAACTGAGAGCTGAGTCAAGGTATTGATCTTGCAGTGACTTCTTTGAGACATTCTCTGGGTCTGAAGGATGCCATCTGTTCCTGCTTTTAGCATAAAGATGCTCTCATTGGAGCCAGTAAAATCTTGGAAGAGTGAAAGAAGCATTAATTCCCATCTTGATTACCTCTTCAGCTTTAGGCTGGAGCACTCCAGCTGGGGTTGAAAGGCCTGTTCAGTGTCCTGTTTTCAGAGCTTGCTGGAACCTTTTCAGTTTTTTAAAAGCTAAGGGAAAAATACTCTTCCGTGGCAAATTAGACCACTGAGGGACACAAAAATGATAAGATGAACTTCTGACTTTGAACATTGAATACTTATCTCCCACACCTCCATTAATTTCCTTAAGTTGTTATTAATTCCACCATAAATTATTATTAATTTCGCTATTCCTTTATATATATATAATGTTGAACACTACATAGCAACATTAATGAAAAGTGAATGATATCAGTGGCATTTCATACTCTGCATGCAGTTATCTGTGTAAGAACGTCTTGTTATTGCTTTGTGCATATAAAAGACAAATCATCTTCCCATCTGGGTAAAGCAGTCAGGGACTCCACAGTACAGAGCTCCTTAAATTGGCATGGAAAATGAAAAGGAAGGGGAAAGAGGCCAGAGGAAGTAGTCCGGTGTTGTTTAACCACAGCTGCAGCAGCATCTCACAGGAAGTATCTCTGGCCAAAAGGGAGAGGGGTGGTCCCCCTTCCAGTGCTCTGCCCCTTGCAGTGTTGCAGACCTGTCTGCAGAGTGTTACAGCCAAGGCATATGCCTCTCAAGAAAGCCTGAGATATTGGAGCGAAGCAGTGAATCATGCACTGTGACTACATCTGCACTGGGCAGGAATCCTGCAGGCTTGATGCTGTCTTTGAGGTGACTGAAATGATACAGGTGGGTGGTGAGCAAACAGCTTTCAAAACCCTGCTAGCAGCCAGCACTGAAAACTTCACTGCTTGTTCAGTGCATCATGATTTCTTCATTGCAGCCTCCCTTTCGATTTAATCAGATAACGTACGCTAACAAGGCGAAGAATTTCTGCTTATCAGTTACTAATAATGCCAATGTTAGACACAACAGTTGGCCAGATGGAGGTAGTCACTTCCAACAAAACTTGACCATGGGCTTTGCCCCACACTTAGAAGGAGGGAGGATTCTTCAGCAGTATAACAGGGCCAAACTAAGGCTGTGTTTGGTTTTTAAAAGGAAAGCAAAATTATGCAGATGTAGAATTTTGGGAGGCCAGATGGATTGTATCTGGAAGTGTTTATCATTTTTAATATTTTGAAACCAGATGTTGATGCACAGACATTGCTGGTTGCAGCCATAGGAAGCTGTGTTAGAAGGACACTCTCTAACCTTTGCTAAGAAATTACAATGTTTTGATCCAGTTAAGATCAACTATTAGTACAGAACTGGCCAACCACTGCTGTAAGCCGTTAAAAAAAATAGGAAACAGATGCTCAATAGAAAGAAAGCTATCAGCCATAGCATTCCTGATCTTTTTATAAAATGTAAACTTAAATACTTTATGTGTCCTTTAATGAACTGCCATGGAACAACTTTAGTAGTCAAAACATTTCATAAGATTACACAAATGCAATTTGTCATTTATTAATATTTCCACAGAAGTGGTGTCCCTGGGAAAAAGGGCACGAAGGTGGCACATGCCAGGTGATAAATGTAAAGCATTTCTGTGACAAGAGCTCAACGCAGATCTGATACTCGTAAGACTGATGGAATTCTGATTGTAGGAAAGCAGCAGCTTTTATCCCTCAAGTAGACTGTGGCTGTGGGGGAAGGAACAGTCCCATCTGCATTATGAGGCAACATCTATAAATGTTAACAACTGTATGATAATTGATCATATTTGCAGGAAAGACAACCACAGCAGTGCTCAGAAACTGCAAATGGAGTAGAGATTTTGCTGTTGCAGCCCATTTTGTTGTTAGGTTGAAGGACTAACTATGCTTTTCAGCTTTTTTTTTTTTTTCTTTCTTTTTTTTTTTTTTTTGCCTTTTTCCAAAGCCTCATTTTCCTAACTGAGAATGGTAATGAATGGCTGGCCCACATTAGTGCAGTGCCTGCTGCCCTCCTCAGAGCTGTGACTTCTCTGCCAGAGGAAGAACGGAGGGAGCTGCACCAAAACCCCAGAGTGAGTAAATGGTCTGAATTCCCCATGTCTTCATTTATTTCTGCAAAATGGGAATAATGCTTCCCACCTTCTGCTACTTGTTCACTTCAATAATGACCAATAATCAAACATTGCCAAGTTGCTTTAGAATTTAGTGGAGCCCACACAGCATCCTTTCCTTCAGACTGCATTATACAGATTGGCTTGCTTTTTCAAGCAAATTGGACAGCTGGATCCTCCTTCCATGAGGACAACAGAAGCAAGTTAAAAAAGGAAAGACATCTTCTAGGTATTTCTTAATGTGTGCTGGAAGCTAAGGAAGAATGATCCTTCCTTACAGGAGGGCTCTTTTGCAAAACACCTTTGGAGAAGCACTTAAAATGCTGCCTGTCCTGACTGCTTTGTGTATTGCCCCACGTTCTCCTGGAACAGGGAACAGTCGTGGGCAGGCAATGGAATGAACAAAACAATCTGATCTATGTGATCTTTCTGGGTTTCCTTCATCATCTATATGGCCCGGGGGAACAGTTAACTTAACAGTCAGGGGCATGGTTGAATCTATCATAAAGTGATCTGAGATGGGGCTAGGTTAAATATCAGTACAAGACAGTTCAGAATAAGGTTAGTTGTAGCCATATAGGTTGGGTTCAAAGTACCTTAAGTAGTTAGTCCCATTGTAACTCAGGCCTTCCAACCTACAGTGTAATCATGGGAGGAACTGACCAGCAACATACCATACACCTAACAGAGATTCTCAGAGCTGCTGTCCTGTTGTGAATCGTCCCGGTTGATTCACATTAAAAAAATTTAATTTCTCAAACAGAGCAGCAGTAGTTTGTTAAAATGTTGGACTGAATTGCTGCACAACCAAAATAACACTCCCCAAGATCTCCTCACCATTCAGCACAGCCTCCAGTGTTTATCATATGAATTCAGCACAACCACAAACTAATTTTTTTTCCTTTTGTCTTTTCCCCAGATTAAATGTGATTTCCACATGGGGCAAAGGGAGGGGATACCTCCTTTGCGTGTATTTTAGCAACCAAATAATTTAGTCTTTTATTCACAAACAAGCTGCTTCTTCTCTTCTCCCTGTCCTTGTTTTTGGAGACTATCCCACATTTCTGTTCATGCTAACCAGAGCTATATTACATCTGGCACTGTCCCTGTGATTGCTCAGGCAGCTGGAACAAGTTAGATTGCATTGTTTCCTATGACTTCCCCTTGCATATCAGTTGCCATTACTCCACCTCTGCTGGAGCACTTTTCCATCTATGTTCTCTCCTTCTGTTCTCTGCAAACTGCCAGAAGCCTTCACTGGTTCTTCATTTCCACTGTGAAGCAAAAATATCCCAAAACAGATGCTAAGGAAAATATACTATGGCTTTTGGACTAAAGCAATACACATTACAATAAATGCTACTGCACTGCTGCATTTGGGCCTGTCTCTGTTAAGGATGGGCATTTTCCTTTCCTGAGGGAGCGCAATGCGAGATGCTTTCCAGTCTTTTTTTTTTTTTTTTTTTTGTTTAGTTTACTAATCTGAACATTTCCAAGAGGTGTCCTAAACCCCAGGTCCAAGGTTCATGTAAAGCCATGCAGATAATTTCTTCCCTCCAAGGTGTACCCATGTGTGACCCACCCCAGGCAGACCCTAGCCCAGGTGGGTTTTGTGGCAATTGCTACCTTAGTTTTAGTTATCACTGCTCTATGGCTCTTGCGTTCACACTTCTGGTTTATGACCACGTAGAACAGTGGGTTTTCCTCCCTGACCCACAAGTGATGGGCTGGAGGCTGCTGAATCCCAGTCTTTCATGGTTACAGAAGAAAGAAGGCGTTGCATTTGATGGAGTATGGCTAAAGTGGAAGATGTATACATTTTTTTATGAAGTACAGATACACCCCAGCCATTAATTTCTGGTCCAGATTTGGATTACTATTGTTTATTTGTTAAGTGCCAACAATGTGTTCAGTGCGGTAGAAGACTTGAAACAAAGACAGTCCCAGCCCTCAAGAACTTGGATCTGAATTTCTCCAAGAGTCAGAATAGGGCTTAGATCAGGTGTTCCAGTTCAGGCTCATCCCCATTATGAAGTGGTGCTGAAAAAATCCAGATGTTTAATAAATAATCACTGCGTTTTCTTGTAAAAATGTAACATTTATTGTAAATGACTAATTTTTTTAATGAATATTTTGGAAATGACATCTATGTGGAGAACCTATAAACTGCAATAAATTGTACAGGGGTTGCCTGATGTTTCTGGGGGCTAAAGAGAATGGAAACTCTTGGCCAAGATCATGAAAAATTTTCAGACAAGCCAGGGAGTGAGTGCCGATATGGTGTAATCTTAGGCATCTATTAAAGGTTTCAGGCTACATTATCTGTATAAGTGCTGAACAGGCATGGACTGAGGCATCAGAGCCTGTTGCAGCAAACAAATGTTAAGGCTGAGCAAAGCTCATTAGGAACTGAGGATCTCTTTCTAGCTATTCACTGTGAAATAAAATGATGCACTCGAAGAGGTAAAGGCATCCTTATAAAGCATAGTGGAAGGTCAGGAAGGAAGGGTTTAACTTTCTGTTGGGTATGTTTGGGCTTTAGGGCTCAGCCCATGCCACATCAGTCCAGCCTACTCAAGTACGAAGTGAAATCCTCAGCCGTAGATTAGTGGCACACAACACATGTGTGTGTGTGTGTGTGCGCAGCCTTTACCTTCCTCTAAATTTGCACCTCTGCTCCTGTGGGGTTCTGGGCCTCAAACACTTTGCATTTAGCATGGTAGTTGACAGAAAGTGCAGATGTGTTAGATGTGTAACCTGCTTTAACCAGAAGCAAAGCCCTAGGTATTCTAGCCTTAAACAATCTATTCCTCATTACTACTCCTGTGACAAATAAATTCAGTTGACACATATGACATGATACAAAGCCCAGGGAAAGCTCCCATTGATTTCCATGTCATTTTGATCAAACTATCAGAGGCTAGAGAATTACTTAAATTTTAAATAAGAATTATTATTTAGAACAAAATCCCATCACAGTTTTGCACATGTCATGGTAGAAAGCAAGCACCTGTTCTGGGTAATTTTATTCCAAGTTTCTGTGAACATTTTGTTCAGCTTATTTTTCTCCCATATTCCTTTTTCTCCCCGTCTCCCCATACTGGTCACCTCTGACGTTGCATTAACATGACTAATCTCTGGGTGGAAAAATTACATTCCACTGCGGATGTCTCTAGTCTGAAGCAGGGTGAGTGACACACCTGTGTACCAGACCTACGGCGTTGTTTAGTGTGGATAATAAATGAGTGGACGTGATTTGTTCATGGAATGTGTACAATTACAGGCAAATACTGTAAACCACTCAAAAGCCTTTCCACCGGGACAGATCCTCCTGTCTTTACTCAGACAAAATTCCCACCACTTCCCTGTCTAAACACAACCGTATTTGTAGTCCAGGTTTATCGCGGGCAGTCGGAAGGCAGGGGAGAAGGAGAGAGGTGCTGCTGTCCCTGTAGTGCCGAGAAGCGCTTTCCAGGTGGAGCTCAAGGGTGGGATGACCCCTGCTGCTTCGGCTGGGAATTGCCGGCCCCCGGAGCTGCTCGGCGTGGGAGCAGCAGCTCTGGTTGACGGCAGTGATCTCCACAGCTTCACGGAAAGGTGTGCGACTTTCTGCCGATTTCCAGCACATATTGGGGGCGCTTTGGAGAAGAAGATGATGCTATAGGCTCTTTAAAATCCGCTCAGGTGAGCCCTCCTTGCTCTATGTGGGTGACACAGGCATCCCCAAGGTATATGTGGTGGCTGCAATCCTATAATGATCAGACCAAAGCTGAGAGCTCTTGAAATCCCCTTCAGCCAGTGAGCTGAAGGCAGGGGCATCACTGCAGGGGAAAAGAAACTGGTGCAAGGCAGGTGCACACACAAGCAGAGCTGCCTGGGGAAAACAGACCAAAATTTGGCAGACTAAATTAAACAGGTTGTGAATGCTGCATACAACCAGAGGTAAGGTTAAGATGCAGAACTTTCACATTCACATCCAAACCTTTCCAGGTTTCAGGTAATTAGAATCACAGTTTCAGCAATCACAGCAATATCTTTTGGGATGTCTCTGTATGAGAAAAGGGGAAATCTGGACAGATAAGCATACTGCAAGTATTCACAGGTTTCAACAGTGTAGGCAAGAACAATCACATCAATATTCACCTGTGTCATGATTTTGGCTGGGATGGAGTTAATTTTCCTTATAGAGGCTCACACAAGGACGTGGTTTGGATTTGTGGTGAAAATAGCAGCGACACCAGAGGCATGTTTCAGTCGCTGCAGAGCAGTGCTTGCACAGAGCTGAGGCCTCTCCTGCTCCTGGTGCTGCCTGGCCAGCAAGGAGGCTGGGGGTGCCCGGGAGCTGGAAGGGGACACAGCCAGGACAGCTGGCCCAGGCTGCCCAAAGGGATGTCCCACACCTTGTGGTACCATGCTCAGCTGGGGAAAAGAAGGAGGAAGTGGGATGTTGGGTCGATGGCATTTGTCTTCTTGTCATCATGTCAAGTCATCATGTGACGACCCCTGCTGTCCTGGAGGTGGCTGACACCTGCCTGCTGATGGGAAGTAGTCAGTGCATTTCTTGGTTTGCTGTGCTTGCACACCCAGCTTTTGCTTTACCTGGTGAACTGTCCTTATCTCAACCCATGAGTTCTTGCACTTTTACCTTTCCCACCTGGGGAGAGCGAGTGAGTGGCCAGGTGGTGCTGAGCTGCCTGATGGGGCTAAACCACAACAATCTGTGACCTGTAATGGTTTATCTGTGCTTTCAGAGGCTGGCCAGTAGGAGAAATAATACCTGCTTTCCCAGGGAGTTTCAATGTGAGGCAGAAAGGGAGGCTGGCATTCATCTCAACACAAGACCACAGCTGGAGAAGGCAACTGCCTTCCAGCAGCCTCCCAGGAGCAGAGTGGCTCAGGAGCAGTTTGTTCCCCCAGTGCTGCTGCAGTAACAGCTACACAGATCTCATGCCCTGACATGTCCCAGCTCTGTGCTGTGCTTCTTCCAGACCAATTTCATGCCCAGGGCACTTTGTGCACCTGGTCCAGTTTGTCACTGAGGAGGAGCCATGCTTCCCAGCTTCTTCTTTGCCCTTAGCTTCTCTTGTTCCTCAGCCAGCCTCAAAACACTTTTCCTCCCTTGCCTACTCCTGGTCCTGAGGATGGTCCAGGGTGATGGCAGAAGGGTCCTCAGCCATGCAGTGAAGGAGGCAGAAGAGGAGGAAGCCCTGCCTTGGTCTTGCCCAGAGGCTTCCATGGTGAAATGATTTGCCCCAGCCTTGGCACCCCTCCAAGCCACACTGGCTGTGGAACTGGGAGATAAAAGTCATTTGTGGCAGTCTCTCACTATTATTATTATTATGATTATTATCATTATCATTATCATTATTATATAATTATAAATTATTATTATAATAATAATTATTTTCAGTAAAAGAGATAGAAAATAATCCTTAAACCAAAATGTTTAATTTCTCTCCTCCTGCAAACAAATAATAGAAAATAATAATTAAAAAAATGAAGTCTCTGCAAAGTTTTTCTTTCTACCTGGAATTATTCTTCAAAAGCAGAGAGTTTATCTCTGATTTATCTTTTCTTTTTTTTTTTTTTTTTTTTTTGCCCATTCCTTTTCTCTTCCAAAATATTTCAGGACTCTTCCACAGATTTGAGAAAGAGAATTTTCTGAACAACATTAGTAATATGTCTCCATCTGAGATTACTCTAGTCTGCCCAGAAAGTCAATAGGTGCATTATTAACTGCTTCCAGGCTTTTTTTTATTTTATTTTATTTCATTTTATTTTATCTCAGAGGCGGTGTTGAGATACCAAGTATTTCACAAAGTCTTTTGCCAAAACATTGTATTATTAAAATCAATTCTACTTCCAAAATGAAAAGCTGTAACCTGCTTGCTCTTTGTGTCAGGGGCTGAATAGGAGTGTAGCCAAAAGGATCAATGGATATCATCCCAAACTTGTATGGAAGCCTTCCATGGAGGGAATTGTAGAAAAGCTTGTTAGCTCCTAAGTACACAAATACATTTCTGAACATGTAGGTTTCTTCTATTACCAGTAAGTTTAAATTAGCTCCTAGAATAAACTGGACAATTTGATATTGCAACACTGCAGTCCATGTCAGTTTGATGTTCTTTCCATCAGTTTTACTGAGATGCTGTGTAGCAGGAAAGACTTACAGAAATCACTGTAGTTAGAATAAATAACACAGATAGACTACAGTTAGTCTCCTCTCTTTAGAGAAGAGAGGCATTCAGTAGTACTCTATTTTTCAGAAAAGAAATGAATATATCTAGCCTCACATCTCTCCTCAGCACAGCAGATGCTCTCCATCAATTGAACTGAAGTATGTTGAAAGATGTAATAGCACTGGCAAAGTCTTTTAGAGACCGACAACTACTGTGAATAATGCTATGACTAAGCCTACTATTTAAATGGCTGTGGTCCAAGGAATTTAAGGGTATCAGATACCTATGAGATTGGCCCACCAGCTCTGTTTCACTTGTTTCTTCTAGAATAAACCGATACAGAATATTTGTGACACTGAAACAGGCATATAAGAGAAGGACCACAGCTTGCTTAAGGTTGCTGGCAACTTGTTTTGCTATTAAGCCTCTCTACAAAGAAGAGCACGAGGAATGCTGTTTCTTTTTTTTTAAGTGAAGGAAAGTGCAGATATCTGAATTACCCTGTCTCAGTATGCTGTAACATCAATAGAAAAGAAACTCATTCAGTGAAAATACTGTATTTTTTTCTGACTTCTTTGAAAATCCAGTCGTGGCTCCAGAGATCTTATGGAATGTCTCCTGGGAACATATCTATGGCCAGCTCATTGTCTTGTGAAGCATGGGGTGATAAAGTTACAGAGATCCCAATCTAACCATTTATCTCCGCCTTTTCCAACACGCTGAGAGCTGGAAAAGCCCCACACACTGCAGCACAAACTCTTTGGACCACGCTCCTGTCATCTCTGAAGGCTCTTTCTTTCACTTCTATAGGCAACAATAGGTCTGGTCTGCTTTGCTGATAAATTATGTGATTCATCTGAGACATAAATTTGGCTTACAGCAGAAGCGTTTCCCTGGCTGAGAGGCATACTGTAACAACAAATGTACTTATTGGATTGTCTGCCACCACTGAAGTCATCGTCTTCCGGCTGAGGCCAAATGTTACAGTGCACGTCTCCCCTCATCTCTCAAGCAAATCACAAGACTGCTTATACAACTCCAAGAAAACTTAACTGTAGATAGTATGCTATGGAGCTGACACTTCTGTAATGATACACGTGTGATCTCAGTTTATTGGATGATCATCGGCTTTGGATACAGCAATTCCAGGAGGTTTTCTTGAGTAACACTCTCAGACCCTCACTACATCTTAGTAAGTGGGCCATGCAGTGTAATCTCTCTCAGTAAATGGGCCATGCAGTGTAATCTTCTCTTCAGATGACCTCCAAGACATTATTGCCACATCCTAAGGAGAGTACAGGTCTACCCAAGTTCAGACCACGTGACTAAGTGCACAGTCCAATCTCTTCTTAAATTCAGTCAGGCTCGGTGCAGTGACCACTTCCCTGGGGAGCCTGTTCCAGTGTGCAACCACTCTCTCTGTGAAGAACCCCTTCCTGATGTAGCCTAAACTTCCCCTGCCTCAGCTTAACTCCGTTCCCGCGGGTCCTGTCGCTGGTGTTAATGGAGAAAAGGTCTCCTGCCTCTCGACACCCCCTTACGAGGAAGTTGTAGACTGCGATGAGGTCTCCCCTCAGCCTCCTCTTCTCCAGGCTGAACAGGCCCAGTGCCCTCAGCCGTTCCTCGTACGTCTTCCCCTCCAGGCCTTTCACCATCTTCGTAGCCCTCCTCTGGACACTCTCCAACAGTTTCATGTCCTTTTTATACTGTGGTGCCCAGAACTGCACACAGTACTCGAGGTGAGGCCGCACCAGCGCAGAGTAGAGCGGGACAATCACCTCCCTCGACCTACTAGCGATGCCGTGCTTGATGCACCCCAGGACACGGTTGGCCCTCCTGGCTGCCAGGGCACACTGCTGGCTCATATTCAACTTGCTGTCTACCACGACCCCCAGATCCCTCTCTTCTAGGCTGCTCTCCAGCGTCTCATCGCCCAGTCTGTACGTGCAGCCAGGGTTTCCCCGTCCCAGGTGCAGGACCCGGCACTTGCTCTTATTGAACTTCATGCGGTTGGCGATCGCCCAGCTCTCCAACCTATCCAGATCCCTCTGCAAGGCCTTTCCACCCTCATTCGAGTCCACAACTCCTCCAAGTTTGGTGTCATCAGCAAACTTGCTCAAAATGCCTTCTATTCCTACATCCAGATCGTTTATAAAATATTGAAAAGTACCGGCCCTAAAATGGAGCCTTGAGGGACCCCACTGGTGACGCCCGCCAGCCTGACGCAGCCCCATTTACCATAACCCTTTGGGCCCTGCCCGTTAGCCAATTGCTCACCCATCGTATGATGTTTTGACTAGTCCCAAAGGTGGGATAATACCAAGGCATAATGTTTTTTTAATCCCTCAAACTCCACACATGCTCAACCATAGAGAAAAGGTTATCCCCTGGTGTGCCTCAAACGCCAAGTGTAAGGGCCATAGTCAGCTGAAATTCTGTCAAAATCACTGGATCCAGTGTCCTCTATTAACTGGAAGCACCTAACACAAACACGAAATGAGAGAAACTGTCAGAACTGTTTTTAAAAGGAAAACAATAATCCTGAAATAGCTCAAGTGTTTGATTAGAATTTAAGTAGGAAAAAAGATAATTTTTTGAATGCACAAATGTAAAAAACAAACTGGAGACTGTGTCAGAATAAAAGTAAAGAATAAAAATACTGAATGAACAGAGATTTTCCATCAACAACAGGTGACAAAGAGAAATATCTAAATGTTGCTTCATCTATTCCAGGCATCTTTGCTGAATGCAAAGCCAAGCACTACAGAGTATATAAGGTAATTAACTTATTGAAAGGTGTGAGTAAGAAGACACCAGAAAAAGTTGCAGTGTTAGTGTTAAGTACTACCAACCTTTTATGACACGCCATGCCCATTTGGCAGAAGTAGACAATAATTGTTGTTATTTTACTTTTCCTATATTCCACATTTTTCCCCTATAATATTGTGTAGGCAATACCAATAAAACTGAGAGAACAAATTCATAACAGAGATACATTTTCAAAACAGTTATAGCTGATCTGTAATTTTGACTGCCAAGTAAAGCTTTGAGGGAAAGAGCATGACTGATTTCAGAAAAGACTAGATTTTTACAAGGCAAATAAAAATACCATCAATTCTGTAAGTGCAGGTAGTTATTTATACTAGTTGCCAGTCTGCTTTATTAAACCAGTAGCTGCTGAAAGACTGCTGGAAGAAACCTTTTCAAGAGGGGGTACAGCCTCTACATGTTTCCTGAAAGCTTTTTTTTTTTTTTTTTAAATTTTTTTTAAATTTTTTCTGGAACTATCTGGTGATGGTCCCTGTCAGAGTCAGGAGGCTGTACTTGATGGACAGTTGGCCTAGTATGTCTTTTCATAAAACACATGGCATCTACCTAAGTTCTCCTGAAAAACTTTGGAAGAAAGACTGAAACGACTCACACTTGTGAAAACATCAATGGAGTCTCAAAGCAGGAGACTTCCTCCTTTGAAAAAAAGCTGGAGCTGACCACAGAAAGCTAGTGAGGGAGTACAGGTCTCAGAACGTATGGACCTGGGTTTTATTCAATGAACCTTTCAATTTTCTTGTTAGTAGGCTTTGTCCCACATTGGAGATGGCTTTCTCAATGGACAAACGATATAATGAGCTAACGGTTTTTAAGAAACAAAAACAGAAAGTCTTTTTCAGGGGAGATCTGTTTATCTGAAGAAATGACTGCAAGTAGGTAAGTGGGCTCCTGCTGAATGGTTAACAGATGAGAGTGGCCATTCCCAGAGGTTTGGGACTGCTGATGGTTCTCCAACCACCTGCTCACATCTGTAGGAAAACAAAAAAACAAACAACAACAACAACAACAACAAAAACACAAAAAAAACACACACACAAAAACAGTCTTCTTTTATTTTATTTGGTCAGCCTTAGTACCCTGAAGAAGCCAAAAATACGTAACTGAGCATGACTTTTCCAAACCAGGCATTAATGATACATAGCACAGATCTGCTGTGAATGGGGACAAGTGTGATCAAATGTAAGCTGGACCAGAAGAAAGGCTCTGCATTTGGGAAGTAATGTACACACTGAAAACTTTTGAGGAACCCTGGGTTGAGTACAACGACGGAGAAATAGGAAAGAAGCTGTCAGCTAGCATCAGATTTCAGTCTACATGCTCTATTATTCGGTCTTGTTTTTAACAAAGCAAATATCAACACGATTGTTTTGTTCCTGACTATTCTAATAAATCCCAACAGTGAGAAAAGAGCTCTGACTTCTTCTCCTCATTACACTTTCCTGAAATCTATGAAGATAAAAGCTGTGAAATTGTTGCCTCTCCATATAAAAATGTGTCATGGAGACTGATTGTGAACTTACTACTGTGACAGTTAAGAAAGAAAATTTAAAGGGAAAGAAAAAAGGATTCTAGTTACAAGTCTAGGAGTATAATGGGATGATTTATCATGACAAAATTTTCCTTGTGATACATCTCACTGTTGAAATCAAGGATTGTTAGAGATAAAGCGGTTCACCCTCTTTTAGTTCAGAAATATACTTTAGCAATGTTAACCACTTCTTTACACCCCTCATCCTCTTAAAAACATTTAAAAGAAGCTGTTGTTATAGGGTCCAATGGATGCTTTCTATAGCCAGATGTTTTATTCTGTAGTGTTATTGCATCACCAAAGAAATCACTGCTGTTATGTCACTACATCTATCACTATTGCAGAGTCTTTGCAGCAGAGATAAGCTTCATTAACCCTAGCTGTCAGTGTGAGTGCCTCTATGCAGGAACTGGCATCTATAGGTGCAAGAGGTCAGCTGTGGACGTACATGTGGAGGTACATGGGAGGTTGAGATTAGCCTTCAGCAATGACAGCCAGCTGAGGGAAGTAAGGAGCCACATGTTCTCTGGATGTTTTCTGCTCTAACATAAAACCACAGAGTAGAGTGTGATGGCGGTTCAGCAGGAGAAGGAGAGGGCTGCCAATTAAAGATATATATAATTCTACCAACATCTGTGAAAATGGCTGAATTGCCAGATGGAAAACCAGTAAAGACTTTTTCAGCAACTCCTTAAAAACAGCCTGCTTTCATTATAGATGCACACCACCTTCTTCCCACAGAGCAGAATAGAAAAGTTCATTGAGGAAGTAAGAAGCTGTGTGGGGGCTTGGCCAGGGAAGAATAGGCATTTGATTTAACAGCAGGTACAAGCAGGGAGATGAGGTTTGTCTGGGATTTGTGATTCATGTCCAGCCATGCTGTGCATAAATCACTTAATGCTTCAACGACCTATGTGTTAGAACAAAATAATAGCACCTTTCCACACAGTAGGAAAAGAAGCAAGCTGTGGTTCTCTTAAAAGCACTCTTCCTGGGCTTGCTCAGCATCACATCTCTCAGGGTGGGAATCCCTTGAAGGGCTTCGGCTTGTTGGGAGACTGGAGGATTTCCATTTTCAGGTAATTTAATACAAAGGGAAAGAAAAGAAAGGAAAACTTCTGAACATTAAATACCAATCGTTAAGACTCCAGCTGCCCACTCTGACTGCTCTTTTCTGCTGGGACCCAGAAGTAAGTAAATGAACCATGAGAAGGTCCATGTTGTTAACACCTCTAAGCAGGCCTCTCTGAACATGATGTGAGTGATGGCTGATGGTGTATTGCAGAGTGTGGGAACAAGCGACGTGTAAGAGGTAAATAAAATACTTCTCTTGCCATTCAGAATGGGGGGTGTTCAGCACAGCTGCAGTGAGGTAGGAGCCGTCTTGAGAAACCACATGTAAACCATAGCCTGGGATATGCATCACCATTCAGAGTGTTTAGAAACCCTCAATAAAACCCAAACTCTACAGAAATCAGTGTACAAACCTCCAATAAATTACACAGGACAACTTCCAACATGGCTTTCACTATTCTCAGGTGTGGCTTACAGAAGGGTCTCTGCTTTTATCCACTGTAATGACTGAATCCTCCTCACTTCTCACAAAGGAATGTGCACCTAATCACTGGATTTACTGTCTAGATTAGGTGATTACAAAACCCCATAGATGCAGGGGCATCACTGCCTCTGCCTGTGTTGTGGATGCCTCTGCATGTAAATGCCTGTGTTACATCCAAGAACACAGCATGGCAGCAAGTTTCTCTTTCCACCCCATGCAGCCTGGTGCCAGCAGCACAGAGTGTTTCTCCGTGCTGCTCCAGGATTCACAAAGCAGCATCTTCCCTGCTTACACCTGACGTACACAGGAGATGCAAGGGGCATTCTACACAGAAGTTAATGAGGGGGCAGAGGCCAAGTTTTAGTGGGCAAAA